ACAAAGTTTTTGGGAAATGGGAATGAAATTAATTGGATTTTTGCAAAAAAAAAAAAAACAATAATAGGAATTATGAAATTCCCCCCCCCCCCCCCCTCCCCTCCCAACCCCTCCGTCCCACCCCACTATATAAGACTAAGTATCTGCCTTTCCTATGATGCTTAAATCGTTGGGTTCTATTGTGATGTGGTTCTTTTTGAATGATCTCGATAATGGCAAATATATAGTCAAGAAGAGATTGATAGAAAGAAACAGCAAGAATAAATTACAACCTATGGGAGAGTTGGCAAGTTAAAGAATTACAAAAATTTCCGACTTTTTCAAGTGGTCCCCTTTCTTGAAGTATGTCATATTACGGCTAAACTTGTTTCCTCTGACATTACTTGAAAGTTTGTATAAATAATGTTATTTTAACTTAACAGATCAGTGTGGTAAAGCTTATTTTTAGTGTGATGGAAATCAGCTGTAAAGATAGGCATATTCAATTCCTTTTGGTGAATTTCAATCCAAGGTCAAACAAAAGTCTTGCCTCAAGACGAATATGGACATCAAATTTTACTGGTAGACTTAAAGGATTTTCAAAACACGTTTCCTTATTTTTCTCATTACAATACATATATGAGTACCCTACCATTTTGAGGTGAAAATTCTAAATTTTATCTGAATTTTTCAGCCATAGTGGTGGTTCATTAACGGTTAACAGCGGAAACAGCAGTAATACCAGCATTGGTGACAGCAGTGCTCCAAATAACCCCTCAACTACAGCAGCAGCAACTACCATAGGTGGAGCACCTACTGCTAGTACCACCACAACTACCAATACTACCAGCAGTCAAGGAGGGAACCAGACAACCACCACAAGCATTAACACCAGCATTAGTAGTATCACAAGTAGCAGCAGCAGTAGCAGCACTACCACCAATAGCACTAATAATGTTGGAGGCACAAACAAGACCTCCACGCCATCACCACAGTCCACTCCAAATCTCCCACCCTCCATGCAGGAGAACCCACAGGATAACTAATCCACACATTCGGAATTTACGTTTGCTTAAGATGGAAGAAAAAATTGTATGAAAATGAAACCATAGTTTCAGCTGTTTGGCATTAAATACTTGGGAGGATGGACTTGTTTGCCAATGCTGTTGTGTAGTGCTGCACCAAGGGGGAAAGGTCACACAAGAGAATGACGCAACATGGATGTGAAGATTCTCATTTCATTATATGAGTCTGACCAAGAGTGAATCACTGCTTGATTCTTTTTTTTTTTTTTTTTTTTTTTTCTTCTTCTTTTTTTCTTTTTTTTAATGGCAGTGTACAAGAGCACTTGCAAAGGACTTTTGTTATTTATCTTCAGAAGAAAAAATATATACATATGATTGTAAATAAATAGAGAATGGCAGTGAGATAAATTGCTGAAAGAAGATTGTTCCTTCTGCTCAAAGTGTATGTTGGGACCCTTCCTGTATATCATGTGACTTTGGTGATCACAAGTTCACAGCAGAACTATATGTAGAGAAGTGGTGTGAATATATCACCAATGATTATTTATATGGAAATAAGTGTAAGCGTTACCGGTGAACCATGGAGGGTGGGAGGGTGGAGCCACCTGTGTATCTAGTGACAATTATGGAAGTCAAACGAATGTCTGTATTTTTGCACCTTGATTTCCGTAGCAAGTGGCTTTTGAAATTCATTCTGTAGGAGAAGCTTTCTGAGAAGTTTAAAGTATCTTACATGTGTTATATTCTTAAAAATCTGTCCTTTTTTACTGAGTAATATCCTTTTCATAAATACACTAGTAAGGGTGTGCTTAATTCAGTATTTTAAGTATCAAATTTTCCTGTGTACCTACGGAAAGACTCCACAAGTGACTAGTCAAGCAGTGAGTAGTGGAAGCCCCTAAGCCAGCCAGCTGTTCTATTCTGGACTTGGAAGGTAGCACCAACCTACTGAGTCCAGAGCTTGTAAACAAGTGGTGCCATGTTTAGGTGTCACAGTGCAATGTACAGGTGTTGCAGTGCCACACATGTGTCGCAGTACAACTGGCTGGCTGCTTCTGTAGAAGAGCATCATGGCCATCATGGTCCGAGTGCCAACACCATGTGAACTACTTTGTCAGATGGGGAAGCACTGTTAGCCTCCTAGCACATCACCTGCTGTTGCAAAGTGCAATGTTTGAAAAAAAAAAAAAAAAAAAAGATATATAACTCACTAGTTTTAGTGAATTTTTTTGTAGTGGGATTGAGGCAGTGCCTGTGAATATGAATGAAGTACCAGTGATCCATAGGAAATGTGAAAGGAACAGTGAGGCTCAAAGCTTGAATTCCAAGTTTGTGGATTCCACTTCATGGTATGCTTGGATTCTGGCAAATATTAGCATGGAGATATCTTTTTCTGCTGTTGATGCCATGGTTTGGAGAAATGATAGCTGTGTAAGAATCCATATCCTAGAAACATTTGATACTCCAACATTATCTGCAGTTGAATATTACTCTTTGCTGACCGGCATTTCAAGTCACACCCTGCACCAGTCAACCAAGCATCTTTTTCAGCTTGGAGTACTGCGACTCTTGTATCATTGTGAGAACGTTGGTCATTGCAATCGGTAGGCTTGTTGTCAGTCTGGCTCTTATCTGGTAAAAAGAAAAAAAAATGATAATATAATAATAAAAAAAATCTAAGGATGGGAGCCTTATTGACCCTCAGGATTCCCGGTTATTATGATGGTAACCCTCACAATCCCCGCTTGTTGTCTGTGAGCCGTGCTGCTGCCAAGGTGTAACCACCTCTTGTTGTGACTTAGTAAGTTTTTTGTATGGAAACTTTTGTTAGTTCCCTATTTATATTAATGATAAAGCAGTTTGGAGTGGAAATAGTGGTAGCAGTCAGTCACCATCGTTAGGAGCTGATCCAGCCTCGTGCATCCGCTTGTTACTGTCTTGTTTGCCTACTAATGTATTATAGGTTTCCCACACAGATGCCTTTTTTGTTTTAAGGAACTCAAGTTTGGATACTGAAAAAAAAAAAAAAAATGCAATTGGGAAATGAGTGGCTGTTATGTAAATTCAAAATGGGTTGATCATGCAATGTTCATATTTGAAGGATGGTAGGTGGAAATTGTCAATTGGTTGATATTTTTCTTTTTTTACATATATATATTTGCTGCCACCAACTGTGATTATATGAAATTGTGAAGACTTGTAAACAATGTATGATGTAGTATTTTCATGTTACTACCTTGTCAATAATTGTAAAGCACCAGAGCATACTTGTATATCACTGTATAAGATATAATTTAATTGAAATGGAGCACTTTTTTATTGAAGTCATTTAACAGATTTATTTTTATGCCAATGCCCTTTTTCTTCAACATCATGCTTTTGTGTCCAAAATAAAACCAGTGCTTATTTTTATCTTTTATTTGTGTTCAGGATTCTCATTAATTTATTGCTGTATGGCTGAATATGCTAAAATATAACTAAAAAGTTTGTGGAAGTTTTTCCCAGCTACCATGAATACACCTGCATCTTCTCTTCTCCACTGTTCCCCCTTTTTAATGCAAGCACATCAACACACCATTTCTGCTTAATGTTGAAATGAGTAATTTTTAGAAAGAATTCATATTCCAGCCAGTTTTAAGAGGGATTCTTTTTTAAATATATATTATTGGGTTAGATATCCATTGTTGCTGATAACCAAACCAAGTTACTGATTTGTGACATGACTTGATTTACTGTGATATGATTAGAGAGATAAATGTTCAGCAAGTTGATCATGTGAACAATAATTCACAGTGATGCAAGAATCAGAACTTCAAACCTTATTGTAGAAAGCAGATATCTTGTATCAGTGACCATGATAACTAATTAGACTAGGGTTTTAGGAGCATTTAAACTAATTGTTAAAGTTAGATGGAAAAGCGCACCAGTACCTTGAAGAAGCACCTGGGTCTGTGGAGTCTTTTGCGAGATCACGGCTCGAGTGTTTTTTTTAGTGATGGGTATGGCTCCATAAAATAATATTGATGTAATACATATTTATGTTCATTTGGAATTGTACTTTGATTGAACTTATTTTTTATATTTAATATTTTCAGAAATATCATACCTCTTTTCCGTTTTTCTCTTCCTGATGTTGAACATATTCATGATTTTGACTGTAATATATTTTGATATCACATAATGGGAATGATTTCTGATCATATCACATTGAAGTTTAAAGGAGATAAAGACAATGAAACAGGAGTATATGTAGACGTGATTTATTAAATAGGTAAAATATAGAGAATCTTGAGTGCAATACTGTACTTCACCAAACATGTTCACAAATTGTAAAGTTTGAAGCATGTGGAATTCTTAAGCAGCAAGTAAATGGAATTATTGTAAAATGAGCAATGTAGTTATTATTATGATTTTATTTATTTTTATTTTTTTTTATACAATATGAATATTTACATCATTAATTATATTCAGCATAGAAAAGATATTGCTTAGTGTGATTGGCCTTGAAAGGGATGTGGGAAATAATTTACAAGATGTATGACGTTTGGAATCATTACTTCCCTCCTTGATCCTTTATAAGCTTTTATTTACATATGGCTTAAATTTGCATTTCATAAACTGCATGATGATTAGTCCACGTACCTTTAGTATATCAAGAGTATTCATTAATACAGCTATGTAGGTTCTGCTGGAGGCAGTTTGGGGATATAAGGTAAGGAGTTTGTGTTTTGCCGTAGGATCATGGAATTTTAGTTGCTTATGGTTTAGATTAACACATGAGACTGTTGTCCGGCTATGAGATGTACCGTAACTATGGGTGATTCTATTATTAAGAATAGTTGAAGTGAAAGAGACTGAAAAAAATGGTTTTATTTTTTTATTCAATTGAAATGAAAGCCATAATATTGTGAATGTTGAAATAAAGATTATTTGAAGGCAGAAACTTTAAAATGATGTACAGTTTAGGCTTGAGAGTAGTAAGTGAAATACAAAAAATATTAAATGAGAGTGGATGTAAGCTTAATGTGTATTCCAAGAACAGTTTAAATTAACATGGTAGTCCTATTAATAAAAATATGGAAGGAAGACTAAGTTGTTGATTCTCAAAGCAGTGTTTGTATATATGAAAGTGTAAAGTTAACGTTTAAATACATCAAAAATGCATGGCATTTTCTTTGAGAGAACTGGATATAACCTTACTGTATAAAAGAACTAAGACAGTTTAGGACATGATACACAATTCTGCATGTTTTTTTCCGTCAACTTTCAAATACGCATGAGCCATATATGTTCAATAACATCATATACTGAGATAACTATTAACTCTGCTGGTTCATGTAAGATTGCTAATGTCCAAACAAGCAAAAGATTCTCAGGTCACATCATATATACTTAAAGTGAATTAAAGTTTCTGAAAATTATATAAGTGAAACTTATCTCTATATAGGTGATTAACACATTAATAATTGATCATTTAATATGCAAGAATAATGTTGTATTAAACATTTAAGAAAAAAATCTTCCAGATAAAAGAATAACATGCACACGTCCGACTTTGGGTCATACACACTCCTTACTGTTACATGTGCTCATGAACTCTCATGAGGGTTGATGTTCATAGCTGTAGATAAATTCAGACTAGCAATATGTATGTTTTCTTTACTGTGCAATATTCACTTTTCTGTAAGAATTTGGTAAAGTAAAACTTTAATTATTTGCCAGAATTTTTCCATAATTAATTTTTTAAATCCCTGATTTTAGTGATTTCCATACAAAATTAGCATTCAGTTTTCCCAATAGTCTATTTTTATGTCCATAATTGTGGAGAATGTTTACTTCCATTCTGCCTACTCCTTTACAGCCATAATTACCGTTTCATTATTTACTTTAAGTGTTTCAGATTTGTTTATTACTTCTCCATGAGAAAATAAAAAGATAATATAAATATAAACACCCTTAGTCTTTTTGGTAATATGTTGTTACTTTTTCCTTTATATCTTTTAAAACCATAAAAATTCCTTGTATCACATTTGAATCTTTCCTGTTACGTTTTCCATTAAAAATAAAATAAAACTCCAGATTCTATAATGGAGCATAATATGATGCATAGTAAATGTAATAAAGAAGTAATAGTTACATGTGTTCTGGATGTTCTACAAAAATGCATGTTCAATGTATTTGCTAAAGCAATCATACAGATAATTTATTTTAGCGGTCATGGCAAATGTCATAAGTACTTCAAAATAGGAAATTTTAAGTTGTAATTCCCAGTGAAGTTAAATGTTATTAATTTACAGTCATTCATAACCCCCCTCATATAAGAAAATCTGAAGCTGATTTCTTTTCCTTCTATAGTTGCAAGAGTGGACTTTGTTTATATACTATGCAGTTGGATTTTTGCAGAAACATTGGGCATTAATTTGCCCCTTCTTGCCATAGGATCCTCTAGGGCTTTGGACTAACATATTCTAATCCCCCCCCCCCCAAATGACAAGTTCCCTGTGCCCCCTTCCTCAAATACTGCATTTTACTGGCATAGACGGCACAGGTCAACAAATATCACAGAGGAAAATATACACTAACATTGCTAATGTGATGGTTATACCTGCTTCTCTGCAGTTTCATAAATTCTCCTATGATTCATTGTTCTCAAATTTTTTTGTTAAGCTCTACAGGTTGGAAACCACTGCACTATGGTCTAGTGTATGGAGAGCTTTGTAAAAATACTCAGAATTTTGGCTGTCATGAAACTAGGCCATAGTAGAGACTGCCATATTGTTATTTTATTGCTCTAAATGTATTTATAGTGAAATGACAATCACGCAATCGAAGTGCCCCTCTGTCAGTTGTGTGCCATCGACACTTTGGCAACTTCTATAGGCTAACCAGTAAACTACCGGTACCCGTGGTTGAACGAAATTACCAGACACTGGCTGATGGTTTGACTGGCAGTGCTACCCTATACAAATCTCGATTTACCTCTATGTATTGCTCTACGTTGTTTTTCCCTTTCATCTACATGGCAATGTTCCAAGGAGCACTAATGTTATCATAAATGTGCTGCGCATTGGGGTGGACACCGCACTCAGGCCTGTCTGATGTAAATGCCTACTAACCACTTCAGCAGTGTGGACAACAACACAGGCAGGCTGGCCTAAACAAACAGGTCAGGCGTTTAAGTTAACCCTATCTACTCGATCGAGCAAGTGCTACCGGTCCAGGCCCATCACACCTGTCGCGAAGCTGTCTGTGGGGCATACAATATTGTATTCTACACGAGTTGACGAGGACCATGATGGAAAGATAATCCAAGGTATAACAAGGAATTTTGATCAAGACACTGTGAAAGCATGACAATAGACATGTTAAACAATTACTGTTCATTCCGGGTCATTGTTTAAAGTGGACTGGTCCCTGCTCCAGCACGGCACTAATGTTTGGCTTTCTCGCAGACACCAACGGAGAGTCAACAGACAATCACCAACATTACTCAAGCACACCTTTCAACTTGTTTGATGAACCCCCAAGGGGAAGCCTGCAGGTGATGCCCGTAACTGTTTTACCTGACAAAATCGATGATAAACCTAAGGCTATAATCAGTGTGACCAGTCGGAGTACGAGTACGGCATGGCTAGTCTGGTAGCTGTTAGAATGAGCATTCCTTTAATCTGCAGGTAAAAAATGCGAATGACGTGGCGTCATACCCGCCAGGCAGCGGTCGGCCGTGTGAATGCGAAAACAAGATTTGGATGTTCAAAAGGGCATCTTGATTAGAAGAGGATGGCACTGCCAGTGCTCACCGTCCAGGAGTAACAGCTCCCAATAGCTCAGACGCATTAGATTTGAATACAAAGATGACAAAAATATGTGAATGTAACAAGGCAAAACAAAATAAAATAAGAGATAAGGATAGTTTACCATGAGAAACACACATGGATAAAGGAATAGGAGCAATTGTCAATCTATAGAGCGTAAGAAATTAGTTACAGGATAGTTTAAGATGCGCGGCCGAAGCAAAATGATAGAATAAATAATCGCTACAATAACACAGAAGACAACAAACCTCACACAGCCAGAGTTCTTAATTTCCTGTTTCTGCAAGATGGCACGAAGTGCTAATAAAGGATGGTACCAGGAGGCTTGCCCACTGTCTAAGTAAAAATAGAAGGTAGGAAACGTTTAGGTTCTCTGGAGGCTGCGTGCCCAAGGTAACAATTAACCAAAATTTTTTTCATTGTCGCGTCAACATCTAAGGTCAAAAGCGGCATATATCATCAAATACTGCGATAGGGCGAGTCTTGGGGGGTAGAGAGGGAAAACAAAGCTGAAGTCCAAGGTAGGGGTAATCCTCTACACTGGGCCTCAGTGTCCGTATCCGAAAGCCTACCCATGACAAGAGCAAAGGGTTTCGGAAGAGAGGGGGTACTTGATATAGAGATTAGACTGCGAAAAAATGATAGTGGCACAGTTTCTATCCATACGAAACATATTTATATCGAATATGAAGGTAGAGTATAGATTTTGGGTTATTCATTAAATTAATTATTTAATATATGCAAAAAACGAGTTCAATATACAAATCAAAAGTTTTACGCAAATTTAAAAGAACAAAAGTTAAAACCTGAATAAGTAACATTCTAAGTTAATTACCTGATTAAAGTAACTTATCACGGAAAGCATGAAAAAAACGAAAATGAAATCAGAATTGGTTTAATAGTGAATTGCCTAAAGAGATCGATTACCAATAACACCCCTACATATTTTTCCATACCACTTTTAAACGATCTGCAAAAAACTAGCTTTCAATAAAATTACATAACAAATATTTGTCTGTTAAACACTACAGAGACTTAATTGGAATAAGTAAATAGCCATTGTATACCTAGTATGTAGAAATTAGTAGGTTGGAGAAATGCGAGAAGAAGATAAATTACTGCAATCCCAGTCATTTACTATTGAGCCTTCACCTCAGGATTCTATGTAGGCTTAATGTGAATCAATTCTGTCCAACAGTAACTAGAATTGTAATACCTCGAGTTCAATATGTAACAAAACTTACAATAACCCTTTCTACCGTCTTTGTACATGGGAACGTAATTAAAGGATATCTGATTGCCTATTCAAGCACGTACTAATGGAGACCCCCGCCCCCAAAATCCCTTGCTTTTTGTAGCCCAACCCCTAGCTCGCACAAAAACCCTTGCTTTAATTGTAGCCTGGGGGGATTAGGAGACACTGAGCCCACACGTAGTTTGATCAACCCCTACCTTGGACCTTATAGCCCCTTGCTCTCTACTACCGCAGGGTCTTTTCTCCCCTCCTTGTCGTTTTTTATCTCTTCTTCACTCCCTTATTCTGTCCACATTCTAAAGTGTGAGCCGTGCTGAAATACGGGCTTTGTGTCAGTCCTGCACAGCCTTCATACTCCGTTTGCTCTTCCCTCTTCGGCCTTTTCACAATAATAATAACTACTACAGCACTGCAATCTTATGAAACATCTAACATTTGTCACTAATCGATAACTTATTTCACTAAAACCTGTTTCGCCACAGATATTTGAACATAAGCGCTGTATAATGATTTTCCTAACCTGGAGCGTTGTCCAGCCAGAACACAAACAATAATTAACCTGTGAGATGTTGACAATTTTTTTTTTTCAATAAAAAAAAAAAAAAAAAAAACATACATAGTAAAAAACCGGATGGAAGTAGACTTGGGAAGACACACATGAACATAATTTCCATGAAAAAATTCTGATCATCGCCCAACACAATTTTCCACAGTATCTTCACGGAAATAAGGTAGTACGCTACGTATCATATCAACCTTTATATTTATTACAATGTATCAGCCAAGCAAAATAACAATGTGGAAAAAATGGAAATAGTGACTGGCTTATGTAAACGAAATACTGAGAAATGGAGAATATATTTACAGGAAATTACTGATATACAGAGGCAAGGGGACAAAGTGTCTTAGGTCTACCTGTGCTACTGTTGAAGATGTGTTCAATTGTCTGTAATAAAAGAGCGGAACCAAATCCATTGGATATTAAAAAATAAGGTAACTATTACATATCAACACTAGATAACTGCTGTTTAATGCCATTAGACTATTGACCAACATAAATATATTGCAACATCTGAAAAAATGTTGTACAACAATCAATTTCCTAACAGTTTTTTTGGCAATACATACACAACAGCCGATGGGAATAATACATACATTTTTAGATTCAAGATATTTTAATGGTGGAACTGAAATATCTCACTACACAAAAAGCTTACAAAACAAGAGGCTTCTTTTCATATCATTGATACAGCATTCCTTTAACAGGAATGGGATTATATTGTACCTAGAGAGATACGGAAGTGAAAAAAGGGGGAAAAGAAAGAAAAAAAAAGTAATAAAAAAATAATATATAAAGTGAGTTGAAGCACCACAACATCCTATTCTGGGGTGACCACTGAAAGCAAATATCAAAGAACTGTCATTTCAAATTACACTGGAGCCCTCCAATAAAGAGTTGCAAGAAACGTGTTAACATTTCAACCTCCAGAATAGGATGATGACTAATATTTGTATCCTATATGAAGATCTGTTCTAGTGGTGTATCAATCAACTAGCCTCTTTGCCAAACAAATCCATCAAACCCAAACATACAATCTGTAAAACTTCTGTAAATATAAAAATGTGTGGAGTGAGAGGTTGCGGGAAAAATGCACACCATGCAGTGGACCTGCGGCCCATGGTTTATTCAGTCATGCATCCGTTATTTACAATGTGAGAAGAGCAAGACTGAATACATACATTGCATGCCACAAATGCTAAAATATTATATCCACTTTACATCATCTTGGACGACTTCACATAAAGTATGACCTATAAGGGTGAGGAATAAAAATTACCTCATACACTATATTCAAATTATGTTACCAGACTAAAGCAAAATCTATGTACGAGACACACAGCAAAACCCTTGTATGTAAGCATCTTTTTTTTGTTTACATGCACTGAATAAATTAAAGAAGTACATACTACGTTTGACCTTTGTACAACCATCTACACATTATTAATTTCTTAAGTTTAAATCAAAAAAGACTTCGGAAGCGCATTTTTCATTTCTAATTGACAAATTGATGCTCCGGATGCTGAGAGGCAACCTATATTGTGGTTGGGAATGAATGCGGCCTCGAAACACACTCTAGTGTATTCGGCTTCATTTCACTTCACACAATCATCTAGGCCCCTTCTTATAGGGTTCCCAGGTTAGGATTTCCTTAGGGACATAAGAAGATTCTCAAGATGAGAGCCCCTCAGTTTGATCCCCAGTAAGAACCACCATAAGCTGGCTTAGATCCACCTTTGTTTTGTCCCCCTGCTGTCCCTGCACGCTGAACCACTCGCGCAGCTGCCACCATTCCTGAAAGAATATAATTGATTTTTTAAATTTTTATATTAAGGAGAATGAGGAAATAATTTCCAGTTACACTTACATGTATTAGGCAAGATAATGTGGTAAATTTCCTTACACTAATAAAAATAATGTTAGGTTTTCATTTCAACATGCATAAAAAACCTACCTGGTGGAGCTGATGATGCATTAGAGGGGAGTGGTGCTGTGCAGCAGCTGGGATAGTAGGGATGAACATAGCCGCGGTCCATGCATATGCAGTCATGGGATTGGTGCCAGAGCCAGCCAGGTTGAATGGCGGGGGAGTTCCCGTATGGAAACCTTGCTTGTCATATGACTGGAAATTAGAAAATATCAATGAAGTTGTAGCTTTAAAAACAAAAATGGCTAAAATGAATACTCATCAAAGCTAAATATTTATGAAGAAGAGACAAAGTACAACAAAGAAAACTGCAGATTAAGACCAACCACAAAAAGTAAAAAGATGGCAACTTACCCTTCCTACTTTATTAAGGTGACTCTTATAACCTCCAAGTTCAGTCCCTGAATTAGTGGCTGAGCCTGTTGATGCTCCACCAGCCTTGTTCTGATTCTGGGACGCTGATCCGTAACCAGTCTTGAAGTCCTGAGTCTATGTGCAGAAAGACAAATAAATAAAGAAGGCATGCACTGAACTTCCATAACATTTACTGTAAAATGCAGCAGAAAATCTTTAGCTGAAGGAAATAAATCCAAGAAAGGTAGAACAATAAATCCTAACATGGAATTGCAACCTACCTGTGATAAGTTTTCATAGTAGCTTCCAGTACCATACTGCAACTTGGGTGCTGCTGGGAACTGGTTAGTGTTTGACCCAGTGTGTGCATTAGTAACAGGTGGTATCTGAATTATAGCAGTTGGTGTTCCATATTGGGGGAAGGAGCTTGGAACTGCTGCCATATTATGGTACATGTAGAACGGGGGCATTGCTGCATTGCCAGCTGCTGTGATGTATGTACCACCTGCCTGTGCTCCCTGGTTGTAAGAAGATAATTAATATAAACAAAGTGCTGTAATTCTTACCACAACTATGTAAGCTTTTTTTGTTTTACCAGTTAAAAAAAAACAGATCTGCAGAAATGATCCACAAAGGAAACAATAACTTACTTGTTGATTCATAGTGGAGGGAACAGGAGAGGAATTTTGGTCAGTTCGGAATTTAGCATCAGCTGCAGAGTAAGCCGCCGACGTCATGTTCCCGTCACGGCCAGTGGCTAAACTGGTTGGAGCCTGCTGGACAAAAACAAGACTTTTAAATTTAAAGGCAAGAAATTTTGATACCCCACATAGGTTACATATGGGTCAAGCCTACAAGCCACATACCACATAGATCTAACGGGTTAAAGTTTTTTTTTTTTTTTTCTCTCTCTCTCTCTCTCTCTCTCTCTCTTCTTAAGGCTATAGAACTATAATCACGATCAACATCTGCATACGGCATTTGAGCTGCTTAACCCATTAACGCTGGTATATTTTGAAGCCGAAAATAAAAGATTCCGGGCGGATGGCATCATACTATGCAAAGTGCAATTGATGGCCAATCCCATGGAGCAGCATGCGGCTGCGTGGCCTGGGAGCTAAGCGGGCCAGGGGACATCAGCTGCCAAGCAAGTGTCCCCCTAGCAGCCTTCCAGGGCCTGTGCAGGCGATGGTGTGTTATCCGTCAAAGGAGATTTTTGGCACATGCTAAAACCAGGCCCTCCACTCTTTCTGAGTGCATTTACACATGTTTGCATGCTTGCATGTATTTGCAAGGGTTTATATATACATAAACAAATATATGTGTTCATATATACATACAAAAACATATGTGTTCATATATATACACAAACATATGCACAAAGGAGGGAAAGTAGCACTGCCACAGCACACACACTCTTGCGCGGTCCCATACACCGTCTGAGTGTACAATAAATACTGCGATGGGACTACACACCATATTGCAAAAATACCACTAACAATCGGTTAATTTAAACCAAGGGAGCCCAGACTTGTCCTTAAACCCTTGAACTGGGTGCTTTGCTGACTGCACATGGCCCAAAATCTGGCCAATAGGCTTACTGAGTAGCCACTCTGATGGGTGTGGCTTGTTGCTCGAGTGCACACAAACACACATGCAGTGACAAGACACCAAGCCTTTCCTTTCCAATGTTATTTTCTCTTTTCTGAATAACCCTTTTTAGCTTTTTCGCCATTTTCCAATGTTTAAATTTGTCACTCAATATGCTGTATACAGATGGTAATAGCCAGTCTTCTTTGCACAGACTCCACATGATCTCTCTTGGTAGTACAGAACTCAGTGCAAAAATAATAACAATAAGTAAAATTTTGTTATTTGTTATTATTTTAATCTTTCGTAATATTCCATTTTCTGTTATATAGCCTACACTGCTGGTCACAGAGAGCAGGAAGAGAATGAAAATAGTGTCTTCCCTGGAGCCGTACCAGCACTCATGGATGGTATAATCAATACTCACTTATCAATTAAAATAATGCAATAGCCCATTCCTAAATGCCTATGGAGTTTAATCACTTTCCATGAGCTTTGTGCACTCTTGGCAAGTCATTCCCATCATGCTGACCTACAACTGAAATTCTTATGATACCAAGGTCCTGTTACCATGGCCCCCAGCTAAATCTTTCCATGACGGCATGTTCATGTCACCCAACCATAAAGCCAATTTTATTTCACATATAAACCTAACAAAGGTTTTCTCAAAACAAAAATTGAATTGAAGTTACCATATGAGGCAGCCGTTGTTGTAGTAATTGGAAGTCTTCCAAAGAATACATAGCAGGCTGCTGAAGGCCTGTGTAGAAGGCAGGTGGGAGAGCACCCTGCAGAGCTGCAGCAGCTGGTGGGGAAACATATTGGGAATGCGGAGCCATCATCTGCTGTGCTTGCTGTTGCTGCTGCTGATGTTGCTGTGCTTGCTGGTGCTGATGTTGCTGTGCCTGTTGCTGGTGTATATGAGGCTGCTGATGCTGTTGTACACCTGGAGGCACTGCACCACTTAATCCACTCATAACTTTGCCTGGGAAAATTTTTAAAATATAGGATGTGCACTCACATCTATAGAGCTTCTCTAAAATTATCAGATAAAAAAAAAATCATATTTAACCACCGTTTCACATAATTCTGACTGAAGTACGGTACCTGGTACAGAGGGTTTAGAAGGCTGTACAGGATGTGCAGAAGCAGAGTTCAATGAGGCCGATAACACTGTT